AATGTAAATTTACAGAGCATTAATATTATAATTATTAATTTAAAATATGTTTTATTTATTAACAGTTCTAATTGTTTCGAAATGAAGCTAAAAAGTTCGAATTTAATTTGTAATTAAATTAAGACATTAGTTCCATTTCATCCTCAAGCAAACTAATGTCTTTAATTTAATTACAAAATTAAATTCGAAGCTTTTAGCTTCCATTTTTGAAACATGGTTAGAACTGTGTAATGAAAAAACATATTTTAAATCAATTAATTTATAATTAATATATATATATATATATATGTTTGAAATTCCAATCATCTGAAGAAGGTCAGGGCGTACATTGTCCAGATGAGGGCTACAGTCTAAACAATGCTAATAATGTAAATAAAAATATACCAGTTACATCAAGTAATAGTCTTTGTTCTTATAGCAAGTGTTTGTTTTGACTTCCATGTCTTTTCTTCCACTCTCTGCTTGACTTTCTCGGTAATTGTCTAACTGGCAAAAATCCTGAGTAGAGTTAAAGCTGAGGGAGTACAGAGAAACAAAGAGGCTTACGGCCTCATCACATAGGACCACCAAAGTTAAGCAACATCTAGCATGGTCAGTACTTAGATGGGTAACTGTTTGGGAATACAAGGTGCTGAATGCTTGGACGTGCAGGTGGTGTAATGGTTAATGCTTCGGAATTGTTAATCAGAGAGACAAGTTCCAATTCTGGCTTGTTTTGTTATATTCACTTACACACAAATACCCTTGGGAAAGATATGAATCTATCTCCTCTTCTCCCCAGCTATGGATTAATTAGTAAGACTTATTTCACTAAAACATTATCTAAAAAAAAAAAAAAATAAATAAAATAAAATAAAATTCTTACAATTTAAAAAAATATTTTCCTGGCTTTAAATAATGTGCAAAGGCTTCATAAGCCATAGAAAACAAATCATTCGACTAAAGAGAAAAAGGACTTGGCTTTTATAGAGCTCAATTGTGAGATCTTATTCCAGTTAACATGGCTGACATCCCCATAAAGACTCTATCTGGTTGACTGAAGGTAGTGAGCTCATTCCCTGTGCTGGGTAGTACATTTTATTTTCTCTTCAACCATATAATTATATCAATTAATTACATAATACTGACTAGTTCATACTGGTTGTGTTGGGACACACCTCAGTTCCTTCTACCCAAATTAGGTCAAACTGTCTGAACACCTTGCATGTAGAGACCTGAATAGAATTTAAATTTTAAAATTCAAGACAAAAGTTAAAATACTTACATTTTGTGATAGAAGTTTAGTGAATATCATTTATTGCAATAATAAAATTATTTTTATAGGTTTTGTTAGAATTTTTTATGAAGTTTTATCCTATTATTATCTTATTATCATACAACTCAAAAATTCCACCACTAGGAGCAAATGAAAACACCATGGCACATTTTTAAAGGGTACACATTTAAATGTTATGTAATAAAACCATAGATTAAAGAAATACACACACAAACATGAAATTATTTTATTTCAATGTTTCTCTTCAAATATTTCTGCAGCTTATTTAGTGTGAAACCTGTGCCTGGTGTTTTTTCAAGAGTTCTTCAATGTTTGGTCAAATGTGCAATAAGCAGATGCGCATTTCTCCTTCAGTTGAGCGTAATCTTTCTCAATTCTTATTTTTTTTATTTAGGGTTGGGAAGCCTAATTCACATAAATAAGTAGAAAATTGCAATAAAACTGATAAGGTCTTTTAGCTAATGTGGTATATTCCTTTTGAATTGAAACCCAAAATCTATCAATGGGTACTGTTGAATGTTTTATTTTGAGCCTTTAAAAAATACTTTTTTAAAAAATCAATAATTAAACAAAGTATTTAAAATAAAATAATTGAAGAATAATGAAAATTATTTGGAAAAAAGTTTAATACTTATTCATGTATTCAAATATTAACAGTGTACTTTTTTACTTCACAGACACACAGACATATATATATATATATATATATATATATATATATATATATATATATATATATATATGTGTGTGTGTGTGTGTATATATATATATATATATATATATATATGTGTGTGTGTGTGTGTGTGTGTGTGTATATATATATATATATATATATATATATATATATTATATGTGTGTGTGTGTGTGCATATATATATATATATATATATATATATATATATGCCATGACAATATTTTGCTGCACATTGGTTGAGAATCACTAGTCTAAGCTATTGTAGGAACTGCTATGTTTTTCCATGCCCACATTTTATTCGTCTTGTGATTGGCTAAAAAATTCAATTCTGCCTTTCTATAAGAAAAATTTAGCCATCGCAGAGACGTTGCTTTTGAATTTTTCGGTTTTGAACTTGCTTACTTGTTTCATTAATACAAATTTTGCGATTGGTCAAATTTTAAACAATCATATTTCAGTGCAAAATGAACTTTTCCCGTGGTTTCGCTGGGAGCCTATGTGTAGCTTTAAAAGAGGCGACTTTTTCATAAGCCGACTCTAGTCCACTAAATTTCGCCTGTCAACACAAACCTATGACTTTACTCACAACATTTCAAACGCACACACAGACACAGAATTTTGTAATACATATATACATACCTCTCTGTGACTCAGCCAAGTTCAATCAACCAGGACTCTGTTGATCTCTCTAACACAACACACTTTCTGATCAATTGTATTCTTGTGTTATCTATTCTAACAGCAGACTTGTTCTAACATTGATTCCTGAACATTTCTCTCTAAAGAGAACTTTCTTTCGAACAATCAATTACAAATCAAAATACGGTAAAAGGGAAGCAACTTCTTTTTCCTTAATCTATACATTGAATACAAATTATTGTATATTTTGTTCTTGTATGTTATTTCAATATATACTTGTTCATTCACATTTGGAGTTTCGTTGTTTTCTTGAATCATTAATAATACAAAAGATATAAGCGTTAAAGAACACGCCCGTAACAATATCATCACCAAGAAAAAAGAAAAAACAATAGGAAAATTATTAGACGAGAAATTTTTGGAAATGTTTAATGAAGAAAAATTCTTTTGTCGAGGTTACAAATGAGGACTTATAGATTGGCTTTACAGAATAAAAAAAGTACTTTAATAATGAGTATTATTATATTATCCAAGACTCATCATTGTTTGCCCGATATAAATTATTCAACATGAAAATTTATTAGAGGGACTCAACCATTCATAAAACTCAAGCCCCCCTGTGGTAAAAGTTTTTTCAATAGATATACATTTAAAAGAACGTTACAATGAAAATCTCACGAAAAAATGATCTAGTAACTTAAAAGAGTTGGAGTAATGGATAGCGGCTCGGATTGAGGAATCGGAGAGCTGAGTTCTGAATTCCAGTCAAATCCATTACATTCATTTACGTGTAATACCATTTGGAAAGGTACTTGAAGTCTCTTCTTCTCACAGGGACTATAGATAAATAGCAAGACAAACCGGGTTCTATGGTTTTTGAAACTAGTCTACCGCAGAAAGAAATGGCAATTTTTTCGAAAAAAAAACCCTAAAATAAAAAGAATTTATATTCGAAAAATACATCAAATTCGCCAAGGCGAGTATCCCGCATTGCACATAGTTGGGTTGACATTAAAAGATTCCCAAACTCTTAAGACGTGAATGGAAGCCATTTCTATGAGTTGGGTCTACATTTTTCATCGTAATGTTTGTTAAACAAGCAAAAAACGGATTATCAACCTTTTTTTTTTTTTTTTTTTTTTTGAAAAAAAAACCTATTTAAATACCATCGAATAGTGTTTTATCCCCAGTTTGGGGGTAAATATCGGTGAGGGTGGATCTGGGATAACCAGCAATTCTGAGAATTGTTACAATACTCAAAAAAAAGATTTTGATTTAAAAATTATAATTTCCCAAAGAATGTAGGTTATTGAATAAAATGACAAACAAATGTTTTATTTCATATTTAGGATTTCTTCAGGTGAATTACGATTTGCTGTTTGGATTGTTAGTATATAAATTTATTGGGGCAAATTCTGAAAAGAAAACATTCTAATCCCTACAGCAATGTGTCCTTTCAAAACAATTGATCTAGCAATTGATTCATCATAATCCCTTCACCTCATGTCAGTAGAAAAACCTGAGATTAAGAATCCGCAAAATTTGCTCTCCTGAAGGTTAACATTAGCCATATATTAAAAAAAAGTTTCAATGAAAAAATCGACTCACAAAGAGAAAGCCATTTTACGTCGGTCGGAAACTGTCTGAAGTCGAGATGCCAGATCAGGACCGATAACATTACAGACCCGTCTTTAGATTTTGTCGAGAATCTCGTGATATATAGCAGCAGCACCAGACCAGATATGGCAAATTTTCAATGCACGGACGAATGGTAGATTTAAAAATGTATAAGTTGGATTTAAGGAGAATATCTGCTAAAACACAATGAACTAAGTTTCCTTGCAACTAGACCTAGTAATTGATTCAATATAATCAAAAAACTTCATGTCAGTGAAAACATGACATAAAATCCGCAATGAGTTGCTCTCCTGATGGTTAGCATCAGCCATGCTGATTCTTAAAAGCACCATAAGCGCAAATAATAAGGTATAAGGTATAAATAAAAAAAAAATCCCGTTTTAAAGAAAATAAAAAGAAATAAAACTGCAAATATTTTAAGAAATAAGAAAGATTGAATATATGTCTTAAGATATAAGGTTATGGAGTTGTTGAAATATATTTAGTAACGGGGGCGACGCTATGTCTAAAGATCACTGCGTGTTTTATATTTCAAAAGGTCAAATGTTTAACCATAAAATTTTAACAAATGAAAATAGGACGATTGTGACAATCATGGCGTCCCAGATCGATTTTTTCGTTTCTCTGCCCGCAAAAAAAAAAAAACATATCTCTTCGTTTGTTTTTCAAGTGTTTGAGTGCAGAAATTATGGGTGGAGAAAAAAGCAATATGGACGATCTAAAGGCTTTTAAAAAAAATATTCATTATACAAAATGTCACACTTCTGGGCAGAAATCAACCTTTTCTTTTTTCTCGCTTTCTACTTTTTTTTTTTTCATCAAACTTTTTCTTTTTTCTTTCTTTCTTTCTTTCTTTTTCTTTTTCTTTCTTTCTCTTTCGTCCTTTCTTTCCTTCTTCTTCTTTTTTTTTTCTTTTCTTTTACTCTTACTTTCTTTGGTACTTTCTTTTTCTTTTGATTTTGTAAGTCATTTTTCAGTCTTTCCTTTTCTTTTCTTTTATTTTCGTTTCTTTCTTTCTTAATTTTTTTTTCCTTTCTTTTTTTTTTCTCTCTTTCTTTCTCCTTTTTCCTTTCTTTTACTGTTTTAAGTTTTTTAAATCATTTTTCTGTCTTTCCTTTGCTTTCATAGTTTTCTTCCCTTTATTTTTTACTTTGTCTTCTTCTTTCTTTCTTTCACCTTTCTTTCTTTTTTCTTTTCTTTTTTCCCTTCTTTGAGATTTTAAGTCATTTTTCTGTCTTTCCTTTCCTTTTTATAATTTTTAGTTTATTTTTTACTTTTTTCTTGATTTCTTTTTATTCCCTTTCCCTCTTTTTCTTTCTTCCTTTCTTTTTTCCCTTCTTTGAGATGTTATGTCATTTTTCTGTCTTTCCTTTACTTTTATAATTTTTTTTTCTTTATTTTTTACTTTTCTCCCTTTTCTTTCTTTGAGTTTTAAGTATTTTCTGTCTTTTTTGCTTGTTAATGTTTCCTTTCTTTATTTTCTAACTTTTCTCTTTCATTCTTTCTCTCTTTCTTTTTTTTTTTTCTTCTTTATATTTTTAAGTTTTTGTTTTTTCCTTTGGATTGATAATTTTCCTTCTTTACTTATTTTCGCTATTTTCTTGACATTTCTTCTTTCTTTGTATTTATTTTTCTTTCTTTTCTTATTAAATTCTTTCTTTCTTTCTTTTTCATTTGTTTCTTTCATAATTTTCAATTTTCCATCTTTCCTTCTGCCCTTTCTTTTTCTTTCTTTAAGTTTTCTTTCATTGTATTTTTTCGTCTTTGGTTATCTTCATTTTCCATTCATATTTCATATATTTTCTTAAATTTCATTTCTCTTTCATTCTTTCTTTCTCTTTTGTTTGCTTAATTCCGGGAATTTTTCTAAACCTTCTTCTTTAATTCTCTCTTTTATTGTTTCTTTCATTCTCTCTCTTCTTTGCGAATTCATTCTTTCCCCTTTTCCTCCGTTCTCTATTTCTCGTTTCTTTCTTTCTTTCTTTTTCACTCTCCTTTTCTTCTTTCTTTCTTCCTCTTTTATTCTCTCTTCCTCTCTTCGTTCTTTCCTTTTTCCTCTCCTTTTTCTTTATTACACCTTTTCTTTCCTTCTCCATTTCTTTTCTTTTTTTTTTTCTTCGAGCGTCTTTTCCTCATTGCTTCTTTGAGCCTCATTCTCAATTTTTGAATAATACTCCTTGCCCTCTTCTTCTTGACGCAAAACAAACAATCCAGAATCTGAATGCCAGTGTTGCCGGCTTTTAATTCTTCCAAACTCGAAACGGATGCCAACCTAGACATTGAAGAAAATTAATTGCAGTTGATTTTTTTTTTTTTTTGCTGACTTACCATAATTTTCAAGGCAAAAGAACCTGAAAGAAATAACAGCAAGAATTTTCTATGGGTATTATTCTTTTATTCTCTGAGTCACAGTGTCATGTGAAAATACAAATTATTCAACATTAAAATTTATTAGAGGAATTCAACCATCAAAAGTCAAGCCCGTGTGGTAAAATGGTTTGAATAAATATACATTTAAAAAAACATTACAATGAAAATCTTACCAATGATCTAGTAACAAAAAGATAGATTAGACTTTACTATTGAATGGAAGCCAGTCTAGGAAAGTTTTTTTTTTTGTAGTTTTTGGTTCGGTTTGGTTTGGTTTGTTTTAATATATAACATTCTGAATGGGTTATTTAATACCGACAAGATTTTTTATTAATGGTAATTTATTTTTAAAATATATTCTGATAATATTTTTTCAAAAATGTGTTGCTGCTAATATTTTTTTCAAAATGTATTGTTGGTAATAATGTAATTTTTTCTTCAAAATTTATTGCTGCTATTTTTTTTTTTTTTTTTACAAAAACGTATTACTGTATTAAAACCTATTTTTTTATTTTTTTTTTTATATAAATTTATTTAGATGCTACTACCTTTGATGAAGGTGGATCTGGAACAAACCAGCAATTAAGAGGTGGTTCCTCGATCCTCAATGAGGCCTTGTGGTTGGATATAGTTTATCGTCTTCCAGAACGCGGATATAGTTTATCGTCATACCCAGGACGGTTATCGTAGTATACGAGTGCTGTTTGGATTGTTAGTATTTAAATGTGTAAGGTGGATTCTGAGGAGAAAATTGTCTGCTACGACACAGTGAACCAACTTTCCTAACAGTAGACCTAGCAATAGATTCAACATAATCACTTGACCTCATGTCAGTGAAAACCTGAGATCATTTTTCCGCAAGGTTTCTCCCCTGGAAAAGCATCAGACATACATTAAAAAGCAATTTTTGCCTCACACAAAGAATATGATCTGGTAACTTAAAAGATATACTAGACTTTAAAACCCTTGAGTGGCAGCCAGTGGTCTAGTGATCGTGATTTTATTGAAATTAGTATTATTTAAAAGTAAAATTAATAATCAATAATAATTAATAATTTTTAATACTGTTATTGGAATATTCAGGATTTTTTACATCAGAAATGATGCTTCTTTTTTAAACTGGTTTCTGGGTCCTAATCTGCAATTTTACCATAAAAGTTTACAAAGTCAAAATCTCCATATGCCCTTCCACAGCCTCTTCACAAAAATCCCCCCTAGTAGGAAAGTCAACAGCTTTTATAGCAGTTTGGCAGACATTTTCCATGTTTTCAATTTATGGAGCATAGAAATGAATAAGCATATTTTACTATGCAAACCATTCCACTCAGTAAAACTTGAACCAGGATTGGTTAGCAGAAGCTAATTTACATGAGCTCACTGACCTCATTCGGTGGTGAAGTATTTTTATTTCTTTCTTCTGCAAAAGCAGTATATGACACAAAAGCATTTTGGCCTTCGGGGCATGTCAGCGTTTTCTTCTGTATTCTAAAAAGCAATGTTCTTATTGCAAAATGAACTTAACTGTAGCCCGATGAAGTATATTTAGAAGACGAAATTATCTATCAAGACCAATTATAAGGAAAACTGTGGCAAAGTGAAAAACGTTTCTAGATATATACCTACCAAAAAGAAAAAAAAAGAATTTTAAATTCTCACTGTGCCCTTTCCTTTGTGCGCAGAACTACACTCTTTAGTACCACTAGTCCTAACCTTTACGGCTAAAACTTGCCATGCTACACACATTGTAGTGAACCAACCTCATTCTCTTCATATTCCAATGATGAGATGTAAGTTCTACTCAAACAGCTTCTTCCCACAAACTGCTACCTTGTAGAACCGACTCCCAAGAGGCTGCTTTCCCAATCACTACAATCTTAACCTGTTTAAGTTTAGGGATAATTGTTAACTTCCACACATATACACATAAGCTGTATCTCTTACTCTGCAACCCTCTACCTTGAGTGGCTCCCGAGCATCATACAGAGTGAGCACCACTGTAAAAAAAAATAAAAAATAAAAAATGTGTAATCACATCAACATAAATATCATGCCATCTAAAATGTGTCCGACAAAAACATTTCCCACTTTATCTTTGCTATAATATAAAAGATGACATCTTTTTTTTACTATTAGAATTTTTTGCAACACACTGACACATGTTGAGATCCTCAAAGTAGTTAGTATTGTTGAAGTTATCACTAACATTTTTGTTGTAATTTACAAACTCTACCTTTCGTTCAATTTCACAATCCAGTCAATGAAATTAGAATAAGCTGATTTGTTTGGAAAAATACTTTGACAAAACCCCTATTCCACAGTTAAATAAATTTCTTTAATTTAATTCAATTTCATGCCAAACAATATCTTTTAAGAATGTTTTTTTCTTTTTAACAGTGAAGAATAAATTCTTAGTATTTCTTACTCTTGAGCATGGAACATACAACTGGCCATGTGTAAATATTTCTTTCTGAAGCCAAAGTCCAACTTTTTGAAGCGTTTGGCCTTGTAATTTCTTTATAGTTCTTGCAAATGCAAGATGAACTGGAAACTGGATTCTTGTATATATAAAAACTTAAAAGATATGCAAAAAAACAATATTGCCTTTTTATTGAATAAGCATTTGTTATTTTAATCATTAAATTGTTTTTAAAATAGTGGGAGTATTTTGTATGTTAAATAATAAAACTTAATTTTTCCAAAGAAATTAATGAAAATTTATTGTACTAGTAAAATCAGTTTTATTTTGTACCCCCTTACCTGTTTCACTTCTCCCCGAAATCTGATTTCGATAGGTCAATGTATTTTAGAAGGTGTGAGGACAGATGGAATAACAGAAGTCATAGAATTTTATATATAGATTAAAACAATCAATCAACAAGGATTTTTGTTTTCTACAACCTGAAAAAGGTCAAAATGCAGTTGAAAGTTTTAAACAAGTTTTCTGATTATGAAAATGATAAGACTTTCTTCTCGTCATGAGGTGAAAACAAAAATAGAGAAACTAAATGCTTTTTCTTTCTGCCATACACGTTTTTGTGTTTTCTTTCTTTTCCCTTGTTTTTTTTCTCTCTCTTTCCCTTTTTTCTTCTCTCTCTCTCTTTTTTCTTCTCTCTCTCTCTTTCCCTTCTCTCTCTCTTTTCCTTTTTTCTTCTCTCTCTTTCTCTTCTCTCTTTTTCCTTTTTTCTTCTCTTTCTCTTCTCTCTCTCTTTTCCTTTTTTCTTCTCTCTCTCTTTCCCTTCTCTCTCTTTCCCTTTTTTCTTCTCTCTCTTTCTCCTTGCTTTTCTTCTTTCTTCCCTTGTTTTTCTCTCTTTCTCCTTGCTTTTCTTCTTTCTTCCCTTGCTTTTCTCTCTTTCTCCTTTCTTCTTCTTTCTTCTTTCTCTCTTTCTCTTTGTTTTTCTCTCTTTCTCCTTGCTTTTCTTCTTTCTTCCCTTGTTTTTCTCTCTTTCTCCTTGCTTTTCTTCTTTCTTCCCTTGTTTTTCTCTCTTTCTCCTTGCTTTTCTTCTTTCTTCCCTTGTTTTTCTCTCTTTCTCCTTGCTTTTCTCTCTTTCTCCTTGCTTTTCTTCTTTCTTCCTTGTTTTCTCTCTTTCTCCTTGCTTTTTTCTTTCTTCCCTTGTTTTCTCTCTTTCTCCTTGCTTTTCTTCTTTCTTCCTTATTTTTTCTCTCTTTCTCCTTCTTTTTTCTTCTTTCTTCCCTTGTTTTTCTCTCTTTTTCTCCTTCTTTTCTTCTTTCTTCCTTGTTTTTCTCTTTTCCTTGCTTTTTTCTTTCTTCCCTTGTTTTTCTCTCTTTCTCCTTGCTTTTCTTCTATCTCTTTACCCTTGTTTTTCTCTTTCTCCTTGCTTTTCTCTTTCTCCTTGCTTTTCTCTTTCTCCTTGCTTTTCTTCTCTTGCTTTTTCCCCTCTCTTTTCCCTTGTTTTTTTCTTTCTATCCTTCCTTCACTATCTTCTTCTGCATTTTGACCATGTCTCATATTCTTTAGATTCCTTTCCTTCTCTTCACATTTTCCTTACTGTCTTATTGTATCTCCCCCTCCACACTTTCATTTCACCCTCATTTCTCTTCACCACTCCTTGTTGTTCTTGTCCGAATACAACAGATACAAATGTAGCAGCTGCGTTAATCCCACCCCCCTCTCTCACACACACACAATTTCCATTCTATAATGTCTGACTTGCTATCAACACAGCTGTACAAAGCAGTGCTGAAAAGTTATCAGCCCCACCAAGTTAGAAATAAAAAAAAAGCCCATTTGCCCAGATTTGGGGAAATACATCAGACGGAACTTTTCAGCACCCCTATTGTACTATTCCAGCAAACAAATATATTGCTGTCATTTTTAAATGCATGCAAACCAGTGGGAATGACAAGCCTCATAATGTCATATTTTATCACCATTGCCAGGTCGATAACATGATACCAATTTCACCCAGGGAAAAATAAATTGCAAGAGTCACAAAACTGTGAATAAATCATACATGAAGATTGAAGAGTCTACAGTGGTATGTGGGAAAACTCAGAGTTCAAATATCACTCAACAAATAATAGCCTTGTGCCACTTTCTAGATCTAGATTAGACACAGAATCTAGGAAATCATTGATTCTTTATGGCATCTCTAAGACAAGTTTCTTTGCTCGCTTGGGGAACTCTTTTTTGGCTTCTTGCTTTAAAGTCAACTTTGATCTTGAAAAAGTTAAATGCAATGTCAATCGTCATCTTCTGTCACTTTAATTCCTGTCCTTTTTTGTACACTATACTTAATAATTCCTTTTTTCTTAGTTTCTTTCACTCTTAGTAACCTCTTGCATCTTAGTGCCTTTATTGCCTTGCTGGGGGGGGGCGTGAAATGATTAAAAAAAGAAAAAAGTAAGCTAAATGGCAGTGCCCATCTCCTTGGAACTAACATGAAACAAACCTGACTTAATTATAAATTACCACAGTTAACTATTATGGGATGCCAGTGCCTAGATGTTTCATAATAAAAGACAGATTTATGATTTTATCTTTTCACTAAAACAAATTCAGCCAATAATTATGAATTGAGTTGTGAGATTATTAATTCACACACAAAAGGACTTAATTATCCAAGTATTTATATAGCACAAAGTCAACTAAATATATTACAGCATAGGTCGATTAAATGTATTATAGCATAGGGATAAGTAAACATGCTATGTTATAGGGTCCAGTAAATACAGAGAATAGAGTCAAGTAAAGATAGTAGTGTAGAGACAAGTATAGTACAGTGTAGCATCAATTAACTATAGAGAGATATGTCAAAAATAAACTTTCATTTTCCATTTCTCATCTGTTGAGGAGCCAATGTCCTACAGCAGGATGGGTAACCTTTTTCAAACAGTGGGTTGCATGAGGTACAGAGTCCATCACAAGATGAACTGTACTAAAAAAAAAAAAAAAAAAAAAGAAGAGTCCATTTTTCATTAAAGGTACTGCAGCTATTTTCCCAAGAGACCATGCATATAAGCATTTGCCATAGAAATGAAGAAAAACTTTGGAGAAAAGATTCCTTCCATAATTAAAAAAAACCCCCCAAAACTGAAGACTTAGTTGAATATTATCTCTGATGACAGAGTGATTAACACATACTGCTGTGTGTGATTTGTTTCTATTTTATTCATTTGCCAATACAAAAATATTCATAAAAAGAGGAAGTACAGACAAACCCCTCATCAACAAGACTAATAGGGGGGGGGTCCGTTAAAGCCGATTCAACTGAATCATCACCAGCCAGAACTGATTCTGCTATTTCCTCCACCGAAAGAATTTGGTAACCAGTGTTGAACATACCACTTGTACACCATTTCTTCCAGTCCCAACTGTTTGTTTCATTACACCATACTTCTCGCACACTTTTGTGACCGAAACTCCAGCATCTGACTTAAGAAGCTTTAATTTATCACTGATACTAAGGTTTGTATGCTTCCTTTTTACATTTTCCTTCTGCTTTGATGCCACGAAGAGAGCAGAACAATTAATATATTAATCAAAATAACAGATTTCCCACAGCTACTTTCTCACATACGCACTAATGTATAGTAACTCTATATATGGTACACCTGTCTTTGTTTACAATTGAAAGGCCCACTACTGCCGCCAAGTGGTCACTTTGAGAACTAATATGACTCCTTCTGCTAAGCCTGCAAGTTTTGAAATACATCACTGATGATTTGGAAATTTTTTTCTCCTGCAGTTTTTTTTCTATTTTGCCTGCATGTTTTGTCTGTTGCATCTGAAGTCCATTGACGGTGTGTGTGTGTGGAGGGGGAGTCCATAGATGAGAAGTTTGTCTGTATATTTATTCCCTAGAGAAAAATAATTATCATTGCTGTTTCCTGTTTCTGAAGCAAAAGATGCTTACGTGTATGATCTTCCTTAGTGAAAATTACTAAGGGTTTAAAACTGTTAACAACATTACCTTCAATTACAAAATTCAAGAAACATTGTACATTGCTTACCTATGGACTACTGTTGTCATATTTGGGCGGGAACTATGCTCATTCCACGTTTTCCAGTCTCAATAGAGTTCAAAAGTGTCTCCAAATCCTTTTAGGTGACAAATTATTTTCTACCCCCCAGCCTCTCTCTTACAAACGGGATGTGGCAAACCTCTCACTGCTCTATTACTACTTCTATGGAAAGTTCTTGGACGAGCGACATTCCTTGGTTCCACCAGCTCTAACCTTCACAGCTAAGACCTGCAACTTTTAGCAAATCACCTTCATTCCCTTCGTATTCCATTGTCGAGAAGTCAGTTCCACTCAAACAGCTTCTTCCCATGAACCACTGGTCTGTGGAATTGACTCCCAAGACAATATTTCCTCAATCACTACAATCTTAACCAGTTCAAGCCTAGGGATAACCATTATCTCCCCCTCCTATTCATATAAACTGCCTCTTAATGAGAGGGCCCTCAGGCCTTGTACAGGATAAACCTTAAAAGATGTCACCTAAAAGATGTCAGAGAGTATGTTAGGGAACGAGTGAGAATGAAAAGAAACAAGTAACATTTAAATAAATGTTATTTTCCACATAAAATTAGAAGTGCCATTCAAAAACCCAATTAGGCCACATGTGGCACACAGGCCTTGATTTGCCCTAAAGCAGCAGCAAACTAATCTCCACTGTTTATTTTCAGATTTAAAAATGGTCTTAATCTGCATTTCAATGTCTAGAGCAATGTTGGTCAAGCTGAGATCTGTGCACCACATGCGGCCTGTTTGGCTTTCTGAATAGCACACCTAATTTCATAAGGAAAATTTGTTTCATTTCATTCTCACTTGTTCCCTCACACACTCTCTCATACATAATCACAAACATAACAATGATTAAGCGCAATGTTTTGTGAAGTTTTAAACTTTTGCCAAAGGTAGCATTTTTATCATTTTAAACCATTACTGATTTTCACTAAGGAAGATCAAATATGTAAATATCTTTTGCTTTAGAGACAGGAAACTGTCATAATTTTTTTTTTTTGTCCAGAGAAGAAAAATATATATTTTTTTTTATTTAAAAATTTGCTTTTTGCTTTTTCAAGGGAATAAATTAGAAATTAATTACATGAAGTGGCATGTACTAGTTACACTGTCATCTGTATTAACATCATATCAAGTCATCAATTTTTTAATTATAGATAAATATATATAGATATATATTGATAAATCTATATAAATATAGATAAATCTACAGAAGGATGCTGAGAAAAGTCAGTTGAAATTTCTAAAACACATAATGAAGAAAGAAGGCCTGAGAACTTGTCACTCATAAAACATATTGATAGGATGCCTTGATGTAGCATAATGGTAAGCTAGCTTGTCTCACTAGAACAATTATGACCGAGTAATGAGTTCGATCTTCACTTGGTGTACCACACTTTCAGCCTTGTACCACATCTAAGCTATATTTAGAAAATCATCCATAAGACATATTGATAGACAAAGAGAAACATCAAGTAGCTGACTAACAAGAAAATAAAATGGATGGCAGAAACAGAGATCAAGAGAGAGAATAAAGGGTTAAACATTGCTGAGAGCTATAAAGGAGAAAGTTTTGGAGAACCATGATTGTTAACATCCTGAAGGGATCAGTCAGTCAGTTATGTGCCATGCATGATGCATGCGTAGGCAATCATGTATCTTTTGATACACGACTGATGAGGCAGATTTTTTTTTCCTGCAGTAGGTTGCCATTTCTTTCTGCGGTAGACCAGCTGCCATCGAAGGCTGTAGAATCCGGTCTGTACTGCAATTTACCCAAGGCTTGGTGGGGAGAAGAAGAGGATTCATACCTTTCCCAAGGGTATTAGCACGTAAGTGAATGCAATGAACTCAACTGGAATTCGAACTCAGCTCTCCGATTCCTCAATCCAAGCCGTTATCATTACTCCACCATGCCTGAAGGGATATAGAACATTAAAGAAGAAGGTCCAGAAATTAAATTGATTGGATTAGTTGAAAACTTGGTTACTTATGGGAGACAAAAAACTAAATGATGACGATGATACACAAGTCTTCCTAACCCCAGAGAAAAATAAGATTGACAAAGAGGTGTATGCATACTGCAAAATCTTCACAATAAACATGTTTCTTTAAAATAAAAAAAGAAAGAAAGAAAAAAAAAAATCTATATTTAAAAGAGAGAGAGAGAAAGAGAGAGAGAGAAAGAGAGAGAGAGAAAGAGAGAGAGAGAGAGAGAGAAAGAGAGAGAGAGAAAGAGAGAGAGAGAGAGAGAGAGAGAGAAAAAGAGAGAAAGAGAGAAAAAGAGAGAGAGAGAGAAAAAGAGAAAAAGAGAGAGAGAAAGAGAAAAAAGAAAAGAGAAAGAAAAGAGAGAGAGAGAGAAAAGAGAGAAAAGAGAGAGAGAAAAGAGAGAGAAAAAGAGAGAAAAGAGAGAGAGAAAAGAGAGAAAAGAGAGAGAGAGAAAAGGATGGAGAGAAAAAGTAAGAGAGAGAGAAAAAGAGTAAAGAGAGAGAGAGAAAAGAGAAAGAGAGAAAAAGGTTTAAAAAGACAACTCAAAAGAGGAATGAGTAAGAGAGAGGCTAGTGAAAAAGAGAGATCAAGAGAGAAATGTCGGACCAATAAATTGAGTTCCAAGTCCAGCCTAGAATGTTGCACAAAGGACCTTAGGAAAGGCATGAATCCATCTTTTATGCTTCTCC